AGTCTTTATTATGGTATACTATAAGTATCAAACCAACGTTCTTTAAAATTGATTTTCTTCTTTAAAGCAGATAAGGTAGAATGCATAATATGATGAGGTTTAAAAGAAGCAAAAGACGTAAACATTTCATCCCATCGACAAGGAAAACAATTTATTTTGCTCTTCTTAATATCAAACAATTCATTGACTGAATATCTTTTTACAGTATTATTTAATCTTGAATTATTTAACAAAGAATCAGCAAAATATTTCTTCTTTTGTTGATTTGATGATATATCTTCATCTTTCACTTTCCAGACCTTCTTAAACTTCAATGCATTATCTGAAATAGGAAAAATAAAATCATTAGTTTTAGATGAACGATGAATCTTTTGTTTCTGAGTCTTTTCAGTAGGCTTCTTCTATTTCTTCGAATTTGTTTTAGTTTTATTCTTTTTATAATACCAATTCTCAGAAACAGGTTTTTTTTATTAAGGGGGTGTTTGGGATTGCTTATAAAAGCTGTTTTCTAACCTATTTCAGTCTAGCACCGATGATAAGCTGTTTTATGGTGTTTGGATAAGAAAAAAAACTGCTTATACCGGTGCGAAACTGGTAATAAGCTGTTTTGATAAGTTAATCCTTCCTGACTTATGAAAAACTGCTTATTACCAGTTTACAATTGTAATCCTGTTTTATTTAACTCCGGTTTGATACCACATAAGTTAATAAGCACTTTTACAAAAAAACATAAGTTGTTTTAAATAAGCAATCCCAAACACCCCCTAAAACTCTTTTTAAAATCTGAGGTTCTTTCAGAATCCACAGTCATTTCATTTTTAATAATAAAATCCTCGTGACTGGGTAGTTCTTTCGAGAAATCAAACTAAGAAATCTCTTCATCTAAACAAACATCTGAATTCAAGATGTCAAAAAATTTTATTTTTTTATTTAAAACTTTTAAATCTTCTGACTCAGAGGCGTCACTCAAAGATTTTGAACAAGAAAAATATTCAAACTCAGCTTGTTCCGTTTTGACTTTAGAATTTTCTAAATTTTCAATTTTATTTAGAAATTATTGTTTTTGTTTATCAAAAGAAAGTCTTTCTTCATTTAAAGTCTTCTCCAACTGAACCACTTGTTTTTTCCAAAATCAATGTTGGTGTATAAAATTTTGGTTCAGCAGGTTTAGATTCAAGTTCTCCTTGTGAATAACTATGAAAATAATCAGTTGAAAGTGCAGAGACTTGTGTTTTATAACTTTCATTTAATTTTGTGTAGTCAAATGGAACTTGTATTTTGTTCTTTTTTTTCTGTTAAAATCTCCTTGTTCTTCGACTTCATCAGAAGATTTTGTAAATTTGATTTGAAACTCGGGACCACAATCAAGATATTCAAATTTATACAGAGTTGGAGTAAAATATAAGGCTTTTTCTAAGCGATTTGGATTTTCATGCCCTAACCCTTCCCGAGGATTAAAAAATCTCGTTTCATATGGCTTGTTTAGAAAAATCGTTTGATCATATTGTCCTCTCTTATATAACTTCTCTTCTTAAACCTTCAGTTTTTCATTTAAATCTTTGATTTGTAAATCAAGCTTACTGATTTGAACAATTAAATCTTCATTCACCAAATCTAAAGATTTATATTTTTCCTTTGAATCAGATAATTCAGTTTTTAAGATGTCAAATTTTTTTGATTCAGACAACAAAGATTGTGCCCAATCAAAATTTTTAGCATTTTCATCAAAAAGTTTGATATAATTTTCTTTTTGCATTTCTAGATCTTTTTCAAGATTACTAGCACGCTCTTTTTCATATTTTAATTTGCTGAAAACTTTGAAGTTTGAGTATCATCTTTTGCATCTGTTGTATGCAAGAGTTTTCCAATACCTCATCGTTTGCATTCTCCTCCTCACATTCATCAGAAGAATCTTGTTCTGTTTTAGCCATCAGACATATATGAGCCACAACTTCTAACTCCTCATCCTCATCAGTTAGATTCAGCCAGTGGTCATCTTCAGCCATTAATACCTTTCCCGCATCCTTTTGTTTTGATAAGAGAAATTTATTCTTGTAATAATCGGTATTTCTTGAAATCGATTTTCTATAGTTAACAGCGAAATGCCCCAACTTGCCACAGTTGCAGCATTTAGTGTTTGCATCTGCCACTCCTTTCACAAACTTTTTCTTTTCTTCAGGCTTCTTTTCGTACTTGTTCTCGTACCTCTTTTCTTCATACTTCTTCTTTTCTCCAAATTTATCCTTGAAATCATATTTAGAGCTAGAAGAAAATCTCTGATTGTTTGAGTGCGGTTTCTTTTGAAAATTCTTCTAAAAGGCTTTTGTCAGCATTACTATGGCCTGTTTGATCTCCTTCATTTCAGAATCAGAGTCAGAGCTATCACTGCTTTCACTTGATGATTCACTTGTCTATATGACCTCTTTCACTTGCTTGCCAGACTTGTTTTTACTCTTCTTTTCAGTCGCAAAGGCTAAAGGATCAGTAGCCTCCTTTTCCTTTTTCTTCTTCAGATCTCTTACTTCTAAAACATCTTCCTCATTTTGTTTTAAAGTTTCATAAACCTCATGTATGTCAATATCAGACAAAGATTTATTATATCTTATGTTGTTTGCATAAGGTTTCCACTCTGGTTGTAGATTAGTGAGGAATTTAACATTGATTTCAATTACTGTCTTAGAAATACCATTCTTTGTCAGCTCATTCAATAGAGTGGTCAACCGATCATACACATCGTCAAGACACTCTCCATCTCTGGCTTTAAACTCCTCATATGCTGTTATGCAATTTGTGATATTTAACTGAGTTCCAACTTTCGAACCCGTCATCATTTTCTCTATTTGTTTCCATATACTATGACCAGAAGCTTTATAGTTATCAATACTGGTATAAATGTCATTAGTAAGTGCCTGCATCATATAAGATTTGTATAATACGTCAGCATGTGCTCTTTCCTTTTCTTCAACACTATATCTTGACTTTTCTTTAATAACTCTTTGAGCTGGTCTGTTCTATGCAGGAATAGCAGGAGTTTCTCTCCAAAACACAATTGGACCTTCCATTAAAGATTCCATGATTAGATCTCCTTCTTTCAAACGTTCAATGAAATTCAGAAATTTGTCTCTCCATTGATTGTAATCTCCTCTGAAGAGGACAGGTGGCTTGGTATCAGTACCAATAGCCATTGTTTCTCTTGAGCTCATTTTATCTGATTTAACTGATATAGGATCTCCAAGTGTTTTGTATTAAATCTTGTAATGATTACAAAATGATTAGCTCAACACTAACTACAACTCTAATTACCCTATTTATACTAGAAAGCATTAAAGGCTAATATATTACAAAATAGGAGAAATTTGCTTGAATACAACATTAATGCACAACATTGAACCCAACAGTGTTTTAGGACACCATGTGTAGATTGATTAGCCCCAATTGTTTGGTGTGTAAATAGGGACGAACCCAAGATTTTTTTCTTATGGTGGCACAATATAAAGCGGTTGCACCTTCTAAAACAATATGGTTGCACCTTTCACGAAACTAATTTTTTTAACCTTACAATGGAGGGATTTACCGGTGGCAGGTGCCACCATTTGCCCTTAACTGGGTCCGTTCGTGTGTGTAAAGTTGGGCAAGATATTGACAAAAAATAGGCAACAAGATCCACACAAATTTATATGAACAAGTAAGTCAAAACTCTATTAATCGTTATCGAACAATTTGAATTTTGTAAATAGAGATTCACAAAAAAAAAATTCCCATCGTTTAAGTTCTATCATCCTGGGTTTTCTTCTTAGTCAAAAACTCCATGATTTCTTTTCGAAAATCTTTATTTTTGTTATTTGAACAAAGATTTAGAGGAAAAACCATATCTTTTGGTCTTGTGTGATTTTGTTTTTGTTTTTACTTTGATTTGTGCAGATTGAGAGCTGCAAGAGGCCTTAATGTTGATGCAATGAGCGAGTATGATGACGGGTTAGATCTCACTGATTATGATTTTGCTAATGATGGTTCTGTTGGTGCCTCTTTTGATGATGATGATAATAAGAAGGTTTACGAACATAATCTCATTGATGATAATTAAAGGTTTACATACATAGGAACGAAACGCAGGGACAAACAGAGAAGAACCACATGGACGAACCACAAGAATGAAACGCAGGGACAAACAGAGAAGAACAACAGAGGCGAACCACAGGAACGAAACGCGACTAGATCAAAACAGAAATCTAGAGGGGAGATCGACTGGCTTTGCACTCTATTTGGGTCGATACCGATTGTCTTTGCACTCGATTTGGGTCAATATCTTCTTTAGAGAATTGGAGGCAAGAATGAGGCAACTGTATTGAACGATTAAGAGGAAATAAGCTATTTGTTTACCACTTTTTTTTCCAGATGACTTTAAGATATAAGAGTTAAGATATAAGAGGTTAAAAAAACATCTGAATACAATAATGTCTCACCGAATAAGCTTTAAAAATAGCCCTTAAACTCCAAATTTTGAAAAAGATATAATAAATTCTAGGGATCCAAACAAAAAAGCAACAAAAGTGGAGGACCTGAAACGAAATTCACTCTACAAAAAATTTGGTGGTAATTTGTAAAATAGAAAGAGAAATGGTAAAAGGTCTTGCACAAAACATGAGCGGTTTCGTCTCAGAGCTTTATTTTTGGAAGTCATCCGGATCAAAAAGTCAAAATTATAGACCCCCCTCAGTTAGCTGCTACCACCAAATCACACTCTTTTCTTCCCGATTTCGCCCTCTCTTCTCGACTCTAGTCTGCTGCTTTCTTCCCAACTCTCCCAATTCCAACTGCTTTGATCGTACGAGTTCACGCCCAACCCAGTAGCAAACTAAGCAGCGCCTGCATCCAATATTTGTTTCTTCCGATTCTATTTTCTAATCAATTGGTGAGACACAGACCCTGCGCTCATTTTTAATATCTGGGTAAGTCTTCATACCACTATACACCCACGTATGTGTGTTCTGTGATGTAGAATTTGCTGCTTATTCTTACGAGAACATGTGTACACTGAAGCAGATTAAATGGGTTTTTCTTCCTTCTTTGACCTTTTTTCGCCGACTGATTTTGCGTACTGAGTTCTGTTATTTTTTAGGTTCGGAATAAATATATGCTTGCGAAGCATTTGTTCTGTCTTTATGAACCTGGGTTTTTTTGTTGGACTCAAACCGGCAAAGTCCCCCTTATGGTAATTGGCGAGGAGACAGGACCAAGAGTCTTTCGCCCTATTTGAAAGTACCCATGTTTTGCCAACTTGGCAAACTCCTTCGGTTTCCTTTATGAAGTTGGTGATTCATAAACATACCCCTCCTATTATCTTTCCTTTTTGAGAAAAAAACGGCTAATTGTTTTTGTACTTGATAACAATACCACAAATAGAATAATATTTGTGCTAAACTTGCAACGAAATAAATGTCAATCTTGCATTTGTAAAGTACTAGGTTGACATCAAATATCCAAATGTTGGAAGGAGTGTAAATTCAAATTTATTTTTTACCTAAAGTTGACTTCAGTATGGGTGTAGGTTTTCCTTTTCACTAGATACATGCTTTGATCATGTCTTGTAGTACTTCAAGCACGCTCATTTGTCTTATTGACTTCATTATTGAACTAACTTTCGTTGTTTGAATTCAAGCAAGGGTGCATAGGTGTTAGTGTTCTTTGGACTTCTTTCAACAATGTGATCCTTGTGGTTTAAGAGTTTAGTTATATTGGGCAATTTTGTTATAATTGTTTAGTGTGATCCAAGCTTCATGATGATCAAAGATCTTATTATCAAGGCTTGAGTGAAAGAACTTGAAGCACTTATTTTTGGGGTGGAATGAATCAATTCGATAGGAAATGAGTGGGCTGCTTTATATTTTATGGGTTTCAATACGCACAATGTACACAGAACAGTGTAGCCGCAAGATGAGTGTTAATGGTGGATGTGTAACGGCTAGAGTATTTACAAGTCATAAATGAGTACGTTGTAAAGTGCAATGACATCAGCTAAGCCTATAATGTGGATGGATGTCTTTAGTAAGCTATGGCATGGACTTACTGTAAGCAGAAAAATAAAATTTGGTTTGTAGTTTTGTAGAGTGGTATGTGACATGATTATGCATCCCGGTGGTTGATATTTCCACTGTTGTGAATATAGTTTAGATATACATGATTTGCATACTTTTCCCAATTTCTAGAATATTTAGTACATGATAAGGTGCAAAGTCTGAATAAAAATAAGTATTTAAGGGCTTTCTAACATTGTATTCTCGGGTTCAACTATAGATTGGGCGAGTAATTGTATCTGTTCTATATTACATCAGATTATGACATGCAGTGTTTTTCTTTTGTTATCATTCTATTGATGATATTCAGAGCATTCACGAACGTCAAGTGCATGGCCGTATCTCTGATGTGTGCCATTGCAAAGTTTTAATGAGGTGAAGAGTTCAATACCATGTTCTTATTTCAGTTATCCTACATTATCTTTTTTCTTTATATGATTGCATTTGATCTTCATCTTTGTAAAGCTCATTTTTAGTGTTGGTACTTAATTTTTATGAAATTATATGTATGCAGAGTCAGTTGGATCTTTACGAAAGTGATGGTATTGTGTGGTAGCTACTAATAGTTGTCCATTTCATTGCTATTGCTACACAAGAAGATTTGTGAATCTTAAGTGTTCGTGTTAACTGAGAGTCAATAATGGCAGAGCTAAGTCCCAGGACTGATACTTCGACAGATGGGGACACTGAAGACAAGGCTCTGGGGGTAATATCTTCAACCTTTTGAAAGTTTTCTTTTCCTTGTTCTGTACTTGGATACATCAATTACAATGGCGTACTCTATGATTCTTACCTATTAAGTAATGACAAATCAATATTTTTTTAGAGTAAAATTAAATGGTTGTTTTCTCATTACATTTGAACTTGCTGTCCACTACCAAAGATAAATCCTTCTATTTCCAACTAGTTGGGCAGCCTGATGATCATGTATATGGAAATGTGTGGTTTTGTTGCAGTTCCATAGCAGTCAATCACATGGGCTTGTGGTTTCTGATGCCAGCGATAAGTCGAGGGATCAAAAGGTTCTAGATTTTTAATACATGTTCCAGTTGTCCTTTTATAATTGCTACACATTTTGTTCTGAAATGTCACAAAGTGATTGCCCCATAACCATAAATTGGATCCAAGTTTCAAAATCGGAAACGAAAATGAAGAACTAGATTATCCTATAGGCTTCACCATGACGATTTCTCTCAGATCCACAACTCTATTTCTCAACACCGTCCATTGTCGTTATCAATAAACGAAACGATGATCTTTGCAATAAGTTTGCTTTATGTAGCCTTTATTTTGGGACATATTTTCTATGTTTCTGATTATACTGCTATCTTGCTGATTATCTTGTTGAACTATATTCTAGACACTTCGTAGACTTGCTCAGAATCGTGAAGCTGCAAGAAAGAGTCGTCTGCGGAAGAAAGTACGTTTTTTCTATGTCGATCTTTATGCTTGTCATATCCTCTATGAAGATCTTTGCTATGTTTTCACATTGTTGTTTTGCTATACTCCAAAGGGGTTGGAATTACTTGATGTTCATCATCTTAATACAAAGAATGGTTGATACGTAAGGACAAAACTGGGATGAATCACAAACGCTTTTGAATATAATAAACCTTTACAAAACTGGTTCTTGCGTGAGAGTACAATGTGCTCAGAGTAGTGTGTCAAGAAAATGATTGACTTTGTAATCAAGTTGTAGCATGCTGCTTTAGCTTAATTAGGTTGCCTAAAATTTATGATTACATGTTGTTATCTTGAAAGAGAAGAAATGAACTACTGGCAATAGAGATACTTGAGCAAGATTTGAGGAAGTTTGAACATGTGGTAATGAGTTGATGTGATGATGTTTGTGATAATAAATATAGAAACTAGAGAATGCTTTGGATCGCTCCATGTTAGAATGATAAGTGTCATGTTTTTGAACAATCATATCTGGTCACAGTTCTATATCTTGATAGTTTTTCAAGAATTCTGATATGTATTATCACGTGGCGTACTCAGAGAAATACTTTTCTTCTTTTCTCATTGCATAATACCCTCTTAGACCTTTTAGTGCTTTCTAGCATGAGTTCTTCCATGCCTTTTCTGAAGTGTGCTATTCATTAAAGTGATTGATGGTGCACGCACTGGAGCAACTTGGAGGCTGTTTTTTTGTTAGACCATAGATAGCAGATCATACTTGCCACTTAAGAATTTATGTTGATCAGATGGAAGATATCTCTCATTCTAATGTGTTACTAATTTGTTGTTCAATATCTGTTATCTATTTTATGTGATTACGTTTAAGTTTGTTATGTTCACACACATGCAATATGGGTCTAGATGTCAGGGGAAGGAGAAACATCATGCGTATAAGATATAGTTGCGCTGAAGTTGAATGATTATAGATTGATGTGTGGCACTTTGGCTTGATGAGGATATAGGATGAGAAATGAGGGGTATCATAATGAGTTAAATAAATTGAGAAGAAAATAAGAACTATTTCTTTCAACTGTTAATCATCTCCGGTGAAGACATTTTATTTTCACTGTCGAGAAGGGGCGACTTTTGCCAAAAGAGGAGACGTTCAAGAAGGTATAGGTGGAAGTCCATGCGATTTTATCATTAATATTGAAAATTACAATAAATCGGGTAGTTCAGTAATTGGAGTTTTATACGTTTCTAAAATCTTACTATGAGAACCTAAGTAAGGGCCTGTTAGTTAAAAGCTTAATGAGCTTAATGGGACTCAGCCTATTCAGTGAGCTATACATGACTGTTTGATATTGGCTTAATGATATAGAAAGTAGCTTATTCAGTAAGTTTCTGGGGGAGCTTTATGGAGAAAGCCAAGTTTTTCCAAACCTGCCCTTCCCAATTAAGAAACACTCTCCTTGCATCTATGAAAAAACCCTCTCAATCCATACAGACAGATTAATCTACTAAGTTAGTTTTATCTATACAAGCCTTCATGGAAAACCAACCAAACAACCCCTAAGTAAAATGTAGAAAAACTCTCTAGAATGGATAGAAGTAGATTGATTGTAATATAAAGGATGACATGATCATGACTCATGAGTGAGAATGGAGGTACAATCTATCTCTTCATAATTTCACATGGTTTGTGTTCTTTCTCATAAATAGTTGCACATGGTTTCCTAAACCAAGTATTTTGAGCGTCAATTTAAGATGTCTTATGTGCACATATATAGGATAGTAGGTTGTAAGCAACATTAAGATTCATCTTATGTCTTGTGTAAGTTCAGAAGAGTTAAGGTTAGAAGGAGATCCCACGTACTGATTGAAATCATTTGGCTGGATTTAGATCGTGTCATGTTGACATAAATAGTGAAAAATCTATTGTACAAGAATAAGAGCATGCACTTTCTAATAGGTTATTTAAGGAGATAATTTCTATTTATAAATCATAAGAAAAATTCTATTTGGAGATTGAAACGCTAAATTTCTAAACCTTGAGACAAAATATACACTAGGCAAGACAAATAAAATATAATGGTGATTACACTTTTTTTCAATTACATAAAAAAAACAAGTTATCAATTGTATAGTTACTCTATCGCAATCTCATCAATTATATCTGTATTGTCAAATTTTAATCAAATCATAACGTAAATCATCGATATGTTGAAATGATTAACGTGCTTTGTTCTCTCATCCTCTTTCGTCTTAAATTGATCATTTATGTAAGTTAATATAATTCAATTTGGAGAAAATTGATTTAACTACTATGATTGTGAGAGCATACTTATGTGATTGATAAACTTTTTGTTTATGCAAATTAAATAAATGTGAAAGTACAAAGACATTTTTTTCGTATACACAATTTTCCAGTTTTACATGATGCTTATATACTATAATGAGTGATTGTTTCAAATCTTTGGTATGTTGAATCCAAGCGTCAAAAATTGCAAATGTTCTTATATATATACAGAGAGAAAGGATTTCGTCAAAAGCATCCATCCCACACACAATTTTAGGCTTTTAATTTAATTTGGATTTATTGTGCAAATGTGTATATCGTCAATTTGTATCTGATTTTCTTTAGGAATAAAAGTAGGCGTTTTGTATTTTCATATAGAGCTATAGAGGCAGAAGGGAGAAGGGTTTAAGGTCCCAATATTTATAGAGAAGGAGGCTTCAAGTTCTAAGGACTGGGTATTTTATATTTAGGGTTTGACTTATCTCATCTATTTAATAACTCTTTATTAAGTCTAGGAGATGAGAAGATGATAAAACTTATTTAATATTAGCCAAGGTGCGACGCCTTTGTGTATTACTCGCCTCGACTTTAAAGAAGCCCAAGACCTTGGGCCTTATGGGTGTGCTTTTAACAACTTTGCATACGGCTTAAAGAACCAGGTGATGGATAATATATCCTCTCGTCATCTATTTTATGGATGTTTGTTTGCTAAGTATATAATTTCCAAAAATAATACGCAGCTTAAATATTGGTTATAAATATTTTCTGTGCCAAAATATAGATCCTCTGTTTCCATCATGAGAAATTATGACAGGCTGTACGTTCCAGGACATCAATTTGCCGTTTAGTTCATGTGGGTTTATTTAAATAAATCAATTATTTATTTTCCAATTTGTGGCCTTTTAGGCTTATGTTCAACAGCTGGAAAGTAGCAGAATGAAGTTGACCCAACTTGAGCAGGAGCTTCAGCGAGCTCGGCAGCAGGTTCGTTTTGACTATCATTGTTGTCTGCACTTTCGTTTCAAGTTCGCTCAATACTACCACCTTGAAGAATATTTCACTTGTTTTGATGAATTTCTTTTCCTTCCTGAAAGGGCATCTTCATTTCAAGTTCAGGAGAACAATCTCAGTCAATGAGTGGGAATGGTAAGAATTTTAATTCTGATGAGTATTTTCAAGTTTTGAACAATTAAAGAAGTAAATGTATGTGTCTTGAGGAACCCATATTTGATTAGGAATCCGGGCACTGCCTGCTCAGCTTGCCGCATGTCCCTCTTCAGAATGATTATTCCTCATGAATAACACATTCATGATGAATATGGACATGTTATGGAAGTGTTATTCATCATGAATCACACATTCATGATGAATATGTTACAACATCCATGATTAATTAACACGTCTATATTCTTGATGAATATGCCATGTGTCTCGTTGTAGGCGGTTCTCTGGTTCCTAATCAATTTTAGGCTCTTAAAGGAACCTGCCCCTATGTTTCTAATATTTAAAGATTAAATGTCTAGCTTTTTGTGACAACTCAAGTATTCCCTTTGAAGATCCGATGGTAGAATCTTTGGCAGTATAAACATCTGTTTCCTACCAATACCCAGTCTTAGCAGGAATTATAATCATGACAAAAATAGAATTAATGTAGATCTTAAATTATAAGCTCTTGACTTACATTTCAAAGGGGATAGAAGTAACCAACCTTAAAAGCATTCCTTCTTATAGCTTTATAAGTTTTGAATGCTTTAAGTAAACATGTACAAACACTTATCAAAACTTAGCGGACCATGTTCAAGCATGCTGGGTTGATTTCCAACTTAATTTTATTGCAAACGTTGTTGAACCAGATCGGATAGTTGATAAACTTGATCAATCTATCATTTAAACCCAAACCAAAACCAAACGAGCCCAGTATATCCCACCAGGAGGGTGGCTTTTTTTGTGGGGAGGGGGGCAGGGTTTAAGATGTACGCAGATCTGACATCTACCCTAAAGAGTAGAGTGTCCATCATCCATGTGAAGACCCCTGGCTAGTGAGATGTTTGGGAAAGGGTCACCTAAGAAAACTAGGTCAACCAATTTGGACTCATTGCTCACCGCGATTCCACCCTTGTCTGCAAACAACTCTAGAGGATACCTTAGTGTCAAAATTTGCCACGGAGCAAAATAGAAGGATTTTAGGTTGCAAGATTCTGTGTAATTCTATTGTTTTGCTTGGTTGCTAGTACTTTTTAATGCTCCTCTGGTTGCTAGTACTTGGTTGCTAGTACTTTGTAATGCGTAACAATGAAGTAGCATGTTAATAAATGTAGCATTATTTCTTGATTCAGAGTATAGATTTATTAAAGATATAATCTGATTATTAATACTTGACGATTGCAGCTCTTGAGAGGTACATTATTTGTTCTTTAAATGTATTTGCGCGAGTGTTAGAATATCAAGGTAACAAGCAGATAGTAGTAAGGGAAATATTGCATGAAAATGACGCAGTTTGGTCTGATTCCTATTTTGGTAATGTACGTTAAAACCTTCGATTTGGTATCTCATAGAATATTTTGAATATCAGTCAATATGAGAAGATTCAGTATTTGGATAATCCTTGGTTTCTACTCATTAAGATCATAATTCCAACACACGCCAGATCCCCATTTCTTGCTGCTATAAAACCGAAAAGAAGAAATGATCATATATTAGATAATACATTAGTACCATAGGAGGCACTTCCTTTTTGCATCCTTCAAATGTCACAAAGTGTGTGGTATGTAAAAAAGAACAGTGATGGAGCATACTCGCAGAAGGGAAATCAATGACGGGTTACGTAAAGACTCTTTAAGATTTGGGGGCTGTTTGGTTGGTTTTCCATCAGGTCCTATATGCATAAAGCGGACTTGTGTAGATTAATTTGTCTGTATAGATTGGGAGGATTTTTTCATAGATGGAAGGACTGTGTTCTTTAATTGGGAGAGGCAGGTTTGGAAAAAACTTGGCTTTATGCATAAAGCTCCCCCTAGAAGCTTACCGAATAAGCAACTTTCTATATCATTAAGCCACTACCAAACAGTCATGTATAGCTGACCAAATACGCCAAGTCCCGTTAAGCTGTTAACAAACAGGCCCATTAGGAACCTTGAGAGTTTATGCATGCTATGAAGCATGTCAAACCAAGAATATCAATGCAGTTGCCAGTTGCTTAGTTTAGGATGAAGAATCTGAAAGCAATAATACTTTTGGAGGTAACGACAACAACATAAACACCAAAATTATATTGCTGTTTCCTGAAGAATACATTGAATAAAATATGGGTGAAGAAATCAAAGTGTGATTTTATGCAGGAGCCTTGGCTTTTGATGTTGAATATGGACGGTGGCTAGAAGAACACAACCGCCGAATTAATGAGCTGAAAGGAGCTGTTAGCAATCATGCTGGTGATGGTGAACTGCGTATCATTGTTGATGGCGTTGTGGCACATTATGAAGATATTTTCAGAATAAAAGGCGATGCCGCTAAGGCTGATGTCTTTCATGTTCTATCAGGCATGTGGAAAACACCTGCCGAAAGATGTTTCCTGTGGTTAGGTGGATTCCGTTCATCAGAACTCCTAAAGGTCAGTCAAACATGATGATGTTGCATTATTAAGCTTAATTATTAAGACAACGTCTTATGTTGGTTTGTGATTTGCAGCTGCTTATAACTCAGCTGGAACCTTTGACGGAGCAGCAATTATTGGCCATCGGGAACCTACAGCAATCATCACAGCAAGCGGAGGATGCATTGTCCCAGGGAATGGAGGCATTGCAGCAGTCGCTAGCCGAGACCATCGCAGGTTCTCTTGGCTCCTCTAATTCATCAGGCAATGTAGCCAGCTACATGGGCCAAATGGCCATGGCTATGGGTAAACTAGGAACTCTAGAGGGCTTCATTCGACAGGTTATACTTATATTCTTCTAACACATCTATCTCATTTACAACAAATAATCATTGCTCATTACGTCACCCCGTGCTTGTTTTTTCTTTTATACCAGGCTGACAATTTGCGGCAACAAACCTTGCAACAAATGCATCGGATATTGACAACGCGACAATCAGCTCGTGCACTCATAGCCATTAATGACTATTCCTCTCGGCTTCGAGCTCTGAGCTCATTATGGCTTGCACGCCCTCGTGAATGACAACAAACTGTCGCGGAGGTTGTTGTACTTGTACCAATTATACACAAAACAAAAAAATTGAAAGTTGTCATGTGCAAGAAAGTAAGGATTTGAAACAAGCAGGAAAGGAAGGGCAGCAAATAACAGCTCTTAAGTTCTTGGTGGTATCTTCTTTCTTCAACCTGCTGTATCTGTGCTGAGTTGTACCTTTTGTTTAGGTTTGTATGAATGAATGATGTCACGTATTATTAACTTATAAGTTACAATAATTTGGTTGTTTAATTGAAACCGACAAGATAGGTACATTGCGAATTTGTAGTTTCGTCATGGCTTTTTAATGCTAATGTTTGAATTTGGTTTGTATATTGTTGTGTTCAACACATTAATGATGAGAATGGAATTGTTATTCATCATGTTCATTCATGATGAATATGGAATTGTTATTCGTCATGAATCATACATTCACGATGAATATGGAATTTATTATTCGTTATGAATATGAACATATTATTTATCATAAATATGTTACTAAATCAATTTTAGGTCCGTTTGCTGTTGTTGGTATCTTGTTTCTTCATATCCTGTTATAAGAGTTTTAAAAGATGGAGTTTGCAATAAAAACAGAATCATGGGATAAGTCTGCAAAGTCAAAGCGTGTAGCAACTTTATTTCAAATTCCATCTCAAGTTGCAAAAAGGTGGAGTAATTAGATTTGCATTTATTGTGCCCACTCACCTTTAATTCCAAAGTTTTATCAAGAAAACAAAATCATTCATTCACCGCACCAATTAAAAACAAAAAGATCAATAATCACTTTAAAATCATTCATTATTTGGGGGAAAAATTGTCGTCAACCTCATGTCGCATATGGCACCATCATGACCCCATCTCCAACAAGACCAAGGTGAAGGGGGGGGGGGGGGGGGTTAATTTTTTTGCTATTGAGGCTAGCAAAAGTTTAGAATTGAACCCAAGACCTATCTTATACTTGGATAAAGTTGTATCACCTCTTTATCAACTGAGCTATATGTCTTTGATTATCTATACGGGTTTAAAACCATATCAACATGAACATCCATAAAAATCTTGTGGCCATTAATTAACACAATAGCTAACCATAGGTGCTTACCAAGACCTGTGTGTTGGTGATTTCAGTGAGATCATCTATTAATTTTATGTAATTGGATTCACAAGAGGATATGAGGTTGTGAGTTAAATTATAACACGGGCTAGGAGGTGTGGAATGCACACTTGTGTAAGCTAACTAGAACCTGAGATTGTTGGATGATCTTGTATAGGGAGGGTTTGAGTGGAAGATGGAAGTGCATGGGTTGTATATTTTTGGTCTTCAGAAGAGCATGACATGCGTTTTCACACACCAAAAACGCTGGTGCATGTGTTTTTTTTGTCAAAAGGCTATCAACTCTAGTATTCAGCTCTATATAGTTGATAGTACACTAGCTAGTTGATCTCTATAATGTTTAGCTACTTGATGGGTCTATTAGCCGAAGGTTCGGCTAGATGATGACAATAATACTTAGCGAAGCTCATGGTTCACTAGTGTTCAGCTTCGCTGATGGTTCGCTAGTGTTGTGTTCAGCTAACTAATGGTTCAGTAGTGTTCAGCCTCACTGATGATGGTTCACTAGTGTTCAGCTAGCTGAAGGATTGCCACATGTGTTCATCTCTATCTAGCTGATGATTAACATTAGATGGACAAGCGATCACCCTCTCTATTAGGTTGTTAGAGAATTAAATTCTTGAGTTGAGACTAGGTATGCTACTGTAAATGAATGTTTATTTGTAACTTTTTTTAGCATGGTAGAACCTAAGGAAGTTTTTGAAGCATCCAAATTGGGTACAAGCAATGCAAAAAGAGCTTGTTCAATTTGAGAGAAACAAAGTATGAAGATAGGTTCCAGAGCTAAAGGACAAATCTGTTAAAGAAACAAAATGGGTGTTCAGAAAAAAGAAAGATGACATGGAATTGTGGTTAGAAACAAAACTAGACTAGTTGCTGAGGGATATTGCCAAGAGAAAGGGATATATTGTGACGTAACCTTTGCACCTGCAGCTAGACTTACAACAATCAGAATATTCTTGGTCTATGTTGCTTATAAAGGGTTCCAAATCTACTAAATGAATGTCAAGTCTGCCTTTCTGAATGACAAGGTCCATGAAAAGGTTTATGTTCAGCAACTACCTGGCTTTAAGGACCTCAAAATTTTCAAACCATGTCTATATTATTGATAAAGCACACTATGGTCTGAAACAAACACCAAGAGCATGATATGGAACTCTTTTCACTATTTTATTTGACTTTAGATTTTGAAATGGTACCATTAACACCAAACTGTTCTTGAAAAAAAGACAAGGGTGATTTGATGAGAGAATTTGGTATGTTTTACTTGTTCTTTTGGTACCTACATCTAATATTCTCATAATAAGGTATAGGGGATAAAAGAATCATTGGATGAGAGTGAATACGTTTGAGTCTATGGTTTTAAAGATAAAGAAATTGACAACTATTGGGGTACTTGTAACTTGTTGATTTCAATTGGTGTTGTTTTGGATCAAAATACAAGTTAAAGTTGCTTGAGTTCTCTTTTGATGCCATCTGATGACGTGAATGAGTCTCTTACACAACATAAAATGATGAAGGATACCCTTAATGAAATATTTGAATGGTAGGTTGATGCTCAAAAAGCGGCTAATGTTGGTGCAATTGACGGAACTAAACGTGGATCCTACCGAGCTAATATTTTAAAGTTGGCAAGGGTATCAAAAATGGCACCGCAAAGTATGATAAACATATTAGAAATGTTATTCTTAAGCATATATGTATACAGAATTAGATACTTGTTTGAAAGGTTCCTTTTAGTTTTCTGTTTGATTGTAGTTTTCAAATAGGAAATCCTACTCTTGTAGAAAGACATCAAAATAATAAACAACTTTCCTCGCTAGAATTCTCTCTTCTTTTTTGTCCTTCACTGTTCTGTTATTTGAGAACAGGACTCGGTTCCTGTATCAGTGATATCAGACCCCAAAATCCTGTAAAATCTCTCGTTCCACCATTAGAGGACAGCTTCACGATTCCTGTATCTGTTTTCGAATCCCTCAACCCAATTACAGCTATGGCTCCTCCTGTGACAAGAAAGACGACAGCCACGGATGAACAAATCAAGGCACTAGAGAAGAAAATCGAGGACCAAGACGATAAATTCGAAGAAACGATGCAGATGATGCGTGAATTGAAAAGGGCACGGTCAATTGGATCTGAATTGCGGTAGCAGTGTATGTACCTAAACTCGATTTTCCCAAATTCGATGGGATTAACCCTAGAATTTGGATAAAGAAATGTTTGCAAATACTTCACAACGTGTAAATACCAGAAGATCAAAATGTCGACTTGGCGTCTTTCAATATGATCGATAAAGCAGAAAATTGGATTTCTAGTTACTTATTCATGAGAAGGACCGTAGATTGGAACGATTGGTGATCGACTTGAGTGCTCGTTTTAAGAATGTCGGACATATCCCAGCAGACGTGAGGGCCGAGAAAATTGCAAAAAGATAAGTGTCAATTCAAGGAGTCACAATTGTTTACGGTTGAAATTCAAGGTGGGGATGATGAGTTTTGCAACATGATGAAGATGGAACAAGGCAATGCAGAGCAATGCTTCCACGTCAGACAAGTTAAAGGATTGACTTGAGGACAAGTCTTTTTCGAAGGAGAAAAGTATGATAATGGAGTTAGAGTTGTTATAACTAAGCTCTCCTTTTAGTTTTCTGTTTGATTGTAGTTTTCAGATATAAATAGGAACTTCTACTCTTGTAGAAAAGCATCAAAATAATAAAGAACTTTGCTTCACTAAAATTCTCTCTCTAATTCTTTTCTACCGCTTGTTGTTCTCTCAATTAGAACATGACTCGGTTCCTGTATCAGGACTATACATTTGTGAGTCCGGTCATCTTTTGATGTTTCGGAGTGGTGGAGGGAGAAAAATCTCTAAAGTTGTCGATATTTTTGCCGTTCCTGTCACTAATGTTACTTCAGAATCTGCTTTTAGGCCTAAGTGGGAGAGGGTTATTGATCTTCATCATTGGTTTAGGATCCAAGGGGCCGTCTACCAAACACTTACCCGGGTAAGCGTTTACTAAGTTACATTACCTTACTGGATGAATATGGTAAGAGCCAAGAATCTTACCAGTAAAACGAATGCAATGATCGAGAGTCTTACCCGGTAAGTAATAACAACGACTCTTACCACGATTAATGCTTACTGGGCAAATTGTTGCAATGATATCATTTTGTTGGACTAAAATCTTACTCCAGTAAGTGATAGTGTCGGTAACACTTACTCGTATAAGTGGTTTGGTAAATGATCCCTAATATGATAGATATGTTTATTTGTGAGGTTGATTGGTATCTATCATTATTAATATTATTGGACCACGCAAGAAAAAAATAAGGTAATTTTTTATTTTTTTTCAATTATAATAATTATTGTCTTCTTATAGTAACTAATAAATGTTTTATTTATAAAAAATTAGGATATGTTTAGTGTTTTATTTAATTATTTTCCACAAGGAATGAAGTTAGATGAATGATGATGGTGAGTTTCTTACTTTCCCCAAAGAATGATTTATATGATGATTGATGAATGGTGACTTTTTTTCATTTACTACGAATAATTGGTGATTGCATAAATTTTTATGTTTTTCAAAAAAGATGATGATGATGAGTAATGGTGGTTGTTTTCCGCTCATTTGGGTTATTTTGTTTATGCTCTCTAGTGTTTGTTTGTTTATTTTCGTTTGTTTATGTACATTTAGCAATTTAAAGAACGAACACGAATAAGTTCATCCTCTTAACCAACAAACATGAACAAAAAAATCGTTTGTTTATTTGATCGTGTTCGTTCGTTTATTTAGCTAAAATTAGACAAACGAACAAAAACAAGCTATATCATGCATGTTGGGTTTATTTACAACCCTAATGACCCCTGTTCACTATTTTCAAATCCAAAGACATTGTCACTCCTTATACTTTTGATGCATGTCTCACGTCTTCTTTATGTGACGATATACTTCTTTGAGAGGATTTCCACATTCATTGGTACAATGAGATCCATAATAAAAAAGATGTGAAAGTCCCTTCCTATTTTAATGAAGTCTAAGGAAAAAGGGGTGGATTACCAAATGCTTATCAAGTAAGTGCTAACTGACAAGAGTTATCGTCCTCACTTACCTTGCTTTGTCGGACACCATTCCCGGACATAAAATGGATTATTTGTAATGTAAGCGTCTCTTACCTGATAAATGCTAATCAGGTAAGATTATTTTCTCACTTACGGAGTAAGAACCTCAATTGTTGTCATGCCTCTTACTAGGTAAGATTCATGTCTTTGTAGCGTTCACCTGGTAAGGCAAGTGACTCGTTAAACTCTTACCGAGTAATCGGCCCCTAATTTGTTTGTTTACCCTTTTCACATGTTGTACACAACTTTTCTATGATATAGCATATTTGAGGCATTTCTTTCGCCAAATCTTTATATGAAAGACTATGAACAGTCTTGAACTTCCATCGAGACGGTCTCTTTTGCCACTTACCTTAATTCTTGAGTTAGTGATTTGTTTTTCAGCATTAAGCAACTTTAAGGTGATCTTATCTATACTATATTACAAGTTGTGTACCCGTGCAATGCAGCGGGAGCCGTGAATTTTAACGATTTTGAAGTTTCACTGGTTTTATTAGAGAAGATTTAACGATTATATAAGTTACACTTGGTCTTTACATATTAATACAATTTGAATAAATAAGAGTTATGGTTCTAAATACAGTCTACCGATTAAAAAAATTGTATGACAGTTTAAAATCCAATATATTTAAAATTCAACATATTTAAACGACTCCMCAAATGTGTTCGATTTACACCAAGAGCAAATAATCGAGAGAATCGAGGGCGAGACCGAGAGTTCTAGAGCAATTGAATGGGAGATGAATGAGAAAACTTTTAATAACTCATGGTGAATATCAGTTTGAATCTCACATTGAGGGATGAGGAGAAGACATAGATGTATGAGAGGGTGAAGACATGAGTGAAATGTGTCAAAAGTATCTTGAGAACATGAAAAGAAACAATAATAATATGCATTGGTAACTTGTACTATATGTTATTGTAATTGTAGATTAAAAGACTTTAAGACTAAATGCATAAAATAGTAGTACTTAATCCATTATGAGTTGTTTTTACAACTTTGTGCATAAATGTATAGTACTTTGTGCATGAAAAATTGTTTTCAAGACTCTTGATAAATCTGGTTTATAAGGTAGTATATATAAATCATTTGATAAAAATTCTTAAAATTATGCATGAAGTACTGTTTATTGATGCATATTACTTAAAATTCAAAATTACAAGTAAAATACACTTATTAAAGCTTCATATATGAATTCATGTAACTAACTGCAGATAAAATAATCAAATAGAGATTAAATATTTCACTTTAAATATACAAAATCTAAAATATAATTAGAATAATCATTAAGTTCTAACAACATATTAGTTATTATCTTTATAAAAAGTTATATTATTAAACCAAAAATAAAAAAATGAGTTAAAGAAATACATAAAAAATGAGAAATCTTAAATATTTAATTTGATACTAATATCAATATTTTTTTTCTTCATATCTTCATATTTATATTTTATTCAAAAATAAAAACATTATCGTTTTCTCAAAACCACATAAAACAGTATTATATCATCGACTGAAACAAAAAAAAAACGAAATACTAAAATTGGGATGTATCTCGCTGCATTGTGCGAGTACCCTTCTAGTCTTTATAATGTATGAGAAATTGGTCTTAGCAAGTTGTGTTTGAATCCGGTTACATTAAGGGTCGTTTACTAAACGCTTACGGATACCACTTACCTTACAAATCTTACTTGGTAAGAGGCATAACAAGGACCGAGAGTCTAACTCGGTGAGGGAAAAAAACTCTTAACCGGTAAGCGGTTAACGGGTGGGTTTAAGACTTTTACCAATAATCCATTCTGATGACAGAGAATGTTACACGATAAAGTAAATGAGAGTGATGTCTTTTGTCGGTAAGCATTTGGTAAACTGCTTCCCTTTCCAAATGCAAAACAATGGAATACTTAATAAACAAAAATCTAAAGGAAAGCATATGCATTAATGGGAACTCAATCCCCAACTTTTCTTGTTCAAAACCAACAAAATACCATTAGAAGTGGTAACAAGGTTTTTGATTCACTAGCAATAGGGGAATCATGCAGCTCTAGTTGGACTTGGACGCTACAAATATATGCTTCCTGCTAAATGGTTGGCACTTCAACAGAAGCAGTAACACACCTCTTTTTGTTTTCCTCACTAAGGTCTTTTAACTTATGGGTGACTAAGGAGTTATGGAACATGGAAGGTTACTCATTTGCAGCTGAAGATGTTGGGTTCAAGTCACGGTGGAAATAAACTTTCTGGAAAATGCAAGAGGAAGATTACATAGAAAAAGACCATCATCGCATAGCCAAAAGAGTTTTGAGTGCACCAAGGTCACGAGTTTTGTGTTACCAAGCTGCAAACATATCAAATCATCAGCTAAACCAATACAACTCATAATAGTAACTGAAAATTTAATGAACTGGATACTTTTACACTTGCTTTGCACACATTGTTTAAACTGAGGTAGTTGTCACTTCTCCCAGTAGCATGTCCTTAATTATGTTGTTCAAATCATGAACCATTTTATTTTTTGGTGTCAATATCGCTCTTTCTTTCAAATATGCAGGGTTGTCAAAATTATCCAACAACAATAGATACACAGCTTGAATCATGCAACAACCACTTGTCAAAAGAACCATCTCCTAGCTGCAACAACCACTTGTCAAAAGAATCTATTTTACAAGCTTCAGATTCTGGTATATTGTTGATTCTCTCTCTCTCTCTCTCTTAGTGATTTGATGATAATTCCTTTTTACCATATGCGAAGTATTTATGTTTCTGTCTTTTCAGTTCCAGTGATCTTCACTGAGTCTGTTCAATGATCGCTGAAGAACTTGTATTGTAAATCCAATCAGCGACAACGATACTTCAAGAAGACAACATTCACACCAAAGAACCTTCAGCTAAAGTCGAAGACTGAAACCGAAGATTAGAGACTGGCGAGTACGTGATCTGAAGCGATATTCAGTGATTATAAGCCTGTCTACATATGTGTGAAGACTACCCAAGCCTCAACGAATGCTGAAAAGACCTTCAGGTTATTCCAGCATTCAGCGATCAAAAGAAGCTTGTTGAGCACGATTGTTGTTGTCTTGTCCTTATACACATAATGGACAAACCCATACCCTTTCTAAACGTTAGTATGATATGGAGCCGATTAGTTGACTCTATTTCCCACCAACTTTATGAAAGAATGTCTGCTCATGAATAGACTTTTGTAGTATTCACTGTAGCAAAGGATAAGCCTTCCCCTTAAGGTTTGACACGTGTTCTAACCCTACCACGTTGCATTAAATGTGCAATTAATGCAACGGGTATAAATAGATGTGTTCTATCTCCATGCAGAGATACACTTACTTAAACCTTACTCTGAGCTTTCTTGCGCTTAAGTAAAAGAACACACATCTAAGAACAAATACCCTCATCTTCAAGAGCATGTTAGAATCCCTTTCATTGTATTCTAAACAAGTTCTCTCCAAGATAGAACTTACTTTCTTGTATTTCTTTAACAACAAATCTTTTCTTATTTGCTAAGATTAAGTGTGTAAAGTTTAGATTGTTTAGATAGGTTTTTCTTATCTTATCTTTCTGCAAACAATCTTGTAAAATCTGTATTGATCTTCTCTTATCAATATATATTTTAAATTTGAAAATACTATGTTTGTATTCATCCCCCCCTTTTCAAACTGTTATACACATCTTGTAGACCCTAACGGGACCAACATATATCTCCAGCCTTATATTTTGGTTAAGCTTAAGAACGTTGAAATATGGTCATAAGTAGGATGAACTGAGAGAAGCATCAATGATGTCACCTTTAGTTCCTTTTGGAACGGGCAAAAATTGGCGAAAATCCCCACCACAAACAACAGTAAGTCCACCAAAAGGTTTTTCATTGCTATTGGGAAATCTTGTTGTAAATATATCTCGCAAATGTTTGTCCAAAGCTTCAAAACAAAATTTATGTGCCATTGGTGCTTCATCCCAAATGATCAAAGAGGTTCTCATGAGAAGTTCTACCAATGTTGTACCATGTCGAATCTCACAAGTTGATTCTGTCGTGACATTGATCGGGATATGAAAGCGAGAATGTGTTGTTCTGCCGTTAGGCAATAATAAAGTTGCAATCCTCGAAGTTGCAACAGGCAAAACTATTTCTACTTCTGATCTAAACTTAGCAATGATTGTATTCCACAGAAATGTTTTTTCGATACCACCATGACCGTGAATGAAAAACAATTCTCCCTTTTGGGATTGCACAGAACGAACAATTGCTTCATATGCCTTTTTTTGACAAGAATTTAGTATGTCAAATGATTGGTCATGCAGATTCTTCAATTGATGATGATCATAATCAAGTTCTTCATCAATCATCTAATTTTTTGATTCTCGCAATAGTGTAGAATTCGGCAAATGGCATTCCCACTTTTTTTTTTTCAAACTTCTTCTCATTTTCAACATTATTGTTTCAATTTCAACCAAGGTATATGCTTCCACTTGTTTGTCATTTAAATGCATGTCCGACGCCCTAAATTTTTTCCTTTGGAGGTAAAGAATATCTTCGGACAATGTAGTGTAGCGAGACTTCCAAAGATGTGATGCATTTGAGACTTGGCAATGGATGATCATTATAACAAATAGATGACACAATTCATTGCCGGTTGCCCAAAGTGCAGCTTCTGTCAAACAATCAATCCATTTCTTTATCATCGTCCAATAAACCAAGTGCATAACATGCATCTTGGAAAGAAGGATATGTGACATTGTTGATGGTTCAGATACTCTCAAAATAAGTACATCCTTTGACATAATTAAGCAACATCCTCGGATACTCTCAAAATAAGTACATCCTTTGACATAATTAAGCAACATCCTCATGTAAAAATGGTCTCCACTTTAAAGGGAGGCATAAAAAATTCTACCGAGGTAGATGCCTTTCTTTGTTTTTGTCCAAACTTTATCGTTTGAATTCCAAACCCACTGTGTGGGAAAATCTAAATATGTGCATGCGAAGGATTTTTTATCGTCTGATGTAAGAAGAGCAAGATATGTGCATGCGGCAATCCTCTTTTCTAAAATTCAGTTGTGTACAAACCTACGATATATAATGAGTGAAAAGGTAATGGAATTGAGAATCATGATAAGATAAAATTATGGTCGCATTTTGAAGTAGTAAAATAGTTGTAGAATAAGTTTGGGTATGGTGTTGACTTACATGCGATTATTTGTCCAAATGGTTGTTCAGTCTTCAGGTCTTGCATTAGTTGGAAGAGTTTGATCTCAAACACATGACACACAATATCTGCATGATTTTCATGATCTTTTTGGCCGATTTTTTGGAGCATGTCTTTGATTTCAGGCCATTTAGGATTGCATGTGAAAGTTAGAAACAAATCTGGATACCCAGCCCATTTGCAAATTGCCATTGTGTCTTGATAGTTTTTTGCTTTATACTGTGGTCCTCCAGTGTGTGACAACGGTAAGATAATTGATTTTCGCACCGTTGAAGAATTTGAATCACCACGATGAACAACATCCATTAATCCAGAATAAATATCAGCTCTAAGTTTTGTCTGGTTATTTCTTATCCATCGAAAATGATCCTCTTCAATTGCCATGTAAGAATCAACGATATATTTTTGAAGCAATCTACCTCCTTGAAGAAGACTTTTGCCTTCATGTAATCTTTGTTGAAGACGAAAACAATAATATTGTCTCATCGTTAATTTTTGTCTTTTTGATTCACTGCTTGACAAGTTTCTTAAAGGAATGTCAGTTCTATCACCATCTTCACCATACGGGTGTATCAATGGGTATGTCATTGACATGAAACGTGGATGCAAATATGTGATTCTTTGAAGACTTGTAGTTTGATGCTCAACAATTATATCACGATGGCAATTCAAATCTGTAGAATCACCGACTATTAGACCTGCAACTTCTGAAGCAATTGGTATATTATATTGAAGATCATCTGTTGGACCTTAAATTCAGCTTTGATATTGATCTAAAACCCTGAATGAACTCTAAGACGATTAAAGTGCAACGGAAACAATAATAAGAACAGAACARAGTAAATAAATCAAKAACACACAGTCAAGATGAGGAAGAAGATGAATGCAGGAGAATTGCTTCAAAGGTTTTTCAATTCATTCAATTGAAAAATTAGACGATTACAATACAGAAGCACACTGATTACAAAGACCTTAGCCGCTATTTATACTAGTTCCTAACGACCTTACTGACAAGATCTAGACACGTGACATCATCTAAGCCGTCCAAATAAAGTCGATTAAGTCCTAGTCACGTGAGAAGAACATGCAGCTAATAACCATTGAAAAACAGTTGGAACATAATCTTCACAGAAGACGAAATCCGCAGACCCTCTGTGAGCCATCTCAGAGGCTCTGCTGTAATTGACTTGCATGTTCTTATTCACAGAGGACCATTTTCCAGAACCTCTGTGAGAGACATCAGAGGTTCTGTCACACTTTACTTGCTCGAATATAAGGCTTCTGTCGTTAGTCCTCTGTTGTCTTCTGTGGAAGATATCCTTCTGTCAAGACTTGCAGAATACTTTTTCTATACTTTTACAAGAGATGCATAATGGAGCTAACAATCTCCCCCTAAGTATGAAAAAGTAAATTTGGACAAATGGGTGCAAGAAATGACTAATGAAAAAAATACAAGAGGAGATTAAACTCATCCTCTGAAAAAGAATTACAATACTAAAAGAATTAAAAGATAGTGCAGGCGTACACTATTACAAAAGATTACTCCACAACAGAGTTTGGAAAATCGTCTACGGAATATTGCAGGTCAGACTTGACAATCTTGTAGACTTTGAAAATCCATTCTCTGAAGGTGACTTGTATCTTGATTGTTTCCAAAAGGTTGGTCACTTCATCCGCCCTTATATGCCCTTTCTGCACCTCTGTCACCATTAAGTTGAACACCCACTCGAGAGACTCTGTGGAATATTTGTGAGTCTCTTTTGGATCGAAGAACCTTAGAATCTCATCCTTGTCCAGGAACACAAACCCAAAGATGGGATTGTGGACAATGGTGTTGGGATGAAATCTAAGCAGCCAACKTGGTCTGTTCTTTGGAGGAGAAATTTTTAGATCTGGCTGGGCCAACCTCATAGCAATGTCGAAATCTTTCTGGCTGTAGAATTTGACTTGAGCGCGCATTACCTCAATTAGCCTTATGAGAGAAATCGAATATGTTGACCTCCTCTCCATGTATTTGTTCAAGATCTTGTGTAAGAATATTAGGTCAAATACGCAGAGGTTGTGCAGGTCAGCATCTGTGAAAGTATATAGGTTGCCATCATCCCTTTTTACCACGTACTGAGTGTATAGCACGGTCTTCTTTAGCATAGTGCGCAGAGAAATGGTTTCGAGTGAAGTGATCACATGCTCTGAGAAGACCTGCTCTGGTGGCCTTGTGAGTTTTGAGAAGTGGAACTTTGCAATGGCAGAGGGCATTCCTGTAAGCTCTGGGTCATAAGGGTGCTCTGTGTCCACGGCTGAGTAACGCCACCGCAGAATCTCCTCAACAGTGGTTACGGGCTCTGTGCGCACCTTCTGCGTAGGAATCTTGCTCATAGATTCAAGGATCTCAGATACCCTCCCCACCGTGGCAGATTCTGGCGTTCTTGATTCTTCTTCTAGTATAGGCCTCTGGGTATACTCCTCTGGTAGGATAGGCTTGACAGTTCCTACCAGAGCGTCAAACGTACTCGTGGACGTTTCTTCTGGTATCTTCGCGAGTTTGGAAGAAGAGCCTTCTCCAACTCTGGGGATGGGGGCTCTGCCCTTTCTCGCCTGTGCCTCTGCCAAAGAAGCCTTTAGTGCTTGAACAAGATCCGAGTCATCATACTCTTCTTCATTGATCTCCTTTGGCATTTCAGAGCTTGACCCCTTTTGTGGCGACTCCTCTACTGCTTTACCCTTGCCTTTCCCCTTAGGCTTTGGAGATTTGTCTTTTGAGAATAGGGCAGCAGCAGAGTCCACTATATTTAGTGGTTTGGCAGAGGTTGTCTTATTTGGTTCCTCTGTCTTCTTCTCCCCCTCATGACGATCATGGTCATCGCCTCCTTGATCGTCATGGATTTTAGTGGCCTCTGTCTTGCAAGTAGTAAGGGGAGCCTTCTTCAAACGCCTTAGAACTTTGGAAGCCGCCTTCTCCATCTTTTCAATGATCATTTCAGCATTCACAGAGGTATTGTTGATGTCCATCTCTGTGGCCCATTTCATTTTAGAGACGCAACAATAGATCTCATTTCTGAAGTTGTTACCTTCTTTGACGAGTTGCTTCGTGCAGTCTCTTATTGATTCGTTGGTTGCTCGGGCTTCCTTGAGGAGTTGGTCGGTGTATTTCTGCACGGTCTCTCCAAGGGCTTCAACCATTGTGTCTAGCTCTCTGCGAGTGGATGGATGGTTAATGTTAGCCCTGGAGGATTTAGAATCAATGCCATAGGTGACCGCAGAGGAGAACATCCCTTTGATCTCATCCTTGAAGGCAGAATAATTGGTGTAGCCAGCGAAAATGAAGTCTGCAGCAAATTAGGTGGCAACCTCTGTTAATTCTGTCTTGAGCTTTTGGATTGAAGAAGGGTTGAGAGACAGGGTGCTGAAAGTTTCTGTGAGGTCGTCTTTGTTGAGGTCAGAGCTCTGAAGGGCTGATACGGTCGCCTTGAGCTCAGAAGTTGTGGAAGTCAACTCCTTTAGAGCCTCTGTTAGAGGTGCAAGAGCCTCTGTCGCCGGTTGGGAGGAGAATAAGCTTTTCAACTCATCCAACCTCTGGAATTCCGCAGTGGCGAAGGTTTGTAACTCCCCCTTCATCACATAGGTATTCGGGGAACCTAGATCACCAACACATGGTGACCTAGTAGCCTCGGAGTGTAAGGCGCCCTCAGTGACTGGTTTGTCGATTTCAGCTCGGGGACTTCCACCGGATCCTTGAACATCTCCAATTGGAGAGCCTACCAGTGTTCTGTCGATGTCGTGCCTAGTAAGTTCAGAGCCTAACTCGGCAGAGGGATCGAGTGGAAACTTTGGGCGTTCTAGACCCGTAGTCTTTGTGAATCTCTCGTATGCCTCTGAAGCATAACTTGGTTGTTCACTCAAGTGTGGAGGGGCAATGGATGCTTCTCTGGGTTGTGATGAGTCCTTGGGTGAATGGACTCTTATTTTAAAAACACCATCCTTTTGAGAGGATGTTGGAGTAGATTGAGGTTCCCGGACTGTGCATTCGATAGAGGACGAAAGAATGTCCTCTGCGAGGTTTGCTGGTTTAGGGCTCAGCATGTGCACGCTTTTTTCAATAGGGGTTCCCTCTAGAACAGGGTCCCTAG